ACAACAGAAGTAGTAACTGCCAGGTCCTGTACCAACCTCACAGTTGTTGCTGTGCTTTGGTGCTGCCACTGTACCACTCCATCTCGTTGGGGTCTTCTTTTTCACTGACCCTCCACTTTACCAAGCATGATGCCCTTCGACTGGTTCCTCATGACAATATCTCTGAAGTATAAGAGACAGAGTCTGGCCATACTGGCTTCTAAGGAGCATTCTGGTTGTACTTCTTCCAGAACAGATTTGTTAGTTCTTTTGGCAGTCCATAGTGCTTTTAATATTCTGCTCCAGCACCATAACTCAAATGCATCAGTTCTTCTTCTGTCTTCCTTATTCATTGTTGAGTTTTCATATGCATATGAGGTTATTAGAAATACCATGGCTTGGGTCAGGCACACCTTAGATCTCAGACTCACATCTTTGCTCTTGAACACTTTAAAGAGGTGTTATGCAGCAGATTTGCCTGTTGAAATGTGTCATTTGATTTCTAGGCTGGTGTTTCCATGAGTGTTAATTGTTCAGAGAAAAATGAAGCCTTTGACAGCTTCAACCTTGTCTCCATTTATCTCAAGTGTTATTTACTGATCATTGGTGAAGATTTTTGCTTTCTTTACACTGAGTTGCAGTCTATACTGAAGGCTGTGGTCTTTGATCTTCAATTATAAGTATTTTAAGTCCTCTTGGTTTTCAACAAGCAAGGTTGTATCATCTGCATATTGCTGGTTGTTAATGAGGTCACCTTTAATCCTGATGCCATATTCTCCATATAATCCATTTTTTCAGAACATTTGTTCAGCATACAGATTGAATAAATATGATGAAATGAATACAGCCTTAGCGCACCCCTTTTACTAATTTTAATCTATCCTGTGTTCCCTTGTTTGGTTTGAACAACTGCCTCTTAGTCTATGTACAGGTTCCTCATAAGCACAATTAAGTGTTCTGAATACTCATTTTCCATAATGCTGTCCATAATTTATCATGATCCACACACTTGAAAGCCTTTATGTAGTCAGTAAAACACAGATAAACATCTTTCTGGTATTTTTTGCTTTTATACAAGATCCGTCTGACATCAGTAATGCTATCCCTCATTCCATGTCCTTGTTTGAATCTGGCTTGAACCTCCAGCAGTTCCTTGTCACTGTACTATTGCAGCCATTTTTAAATTATCTTTAGTAAAATTTTACTGCATGCGATATTAATGATACTGTCCTATGATTTCCTTATTCCGTTGGGTCACCTCTCTGGAATGGACACAAATATGGATCTCTTCCAATCAATTGGACAGGTAGCTGCATTCCTAATTTCTTGGCAAAGATGAGTAATTGCCTTCAGTACTGCCTCAGTTTGTTGAAAGATTTCAGTTTATATTTCATCAAGTCCCAGATCCCTTTTTCTTTACTAATGCCTTCAGTGAACCTTGGACTTCTTTCTTCAGTATCATTGGCTCTTGATCATATGCAACCACTTGAAATGGTTAAACATGGACCATTTCTTTTTGGTATAGTGACTGTGTATTCCTTCCATTTTCTTTTGATGCTTTCTGCTTCATTCAATATTTTGCTCATGGTGGTGGTGGTGTGCCGTGGTGTCAACCAGAGCTCCTTATTTTGCTCATTTGCTGTTGTTAGGTGCCATTGAGTTGCTACCAACCTATAACGACCTTATGCACAGCAGAACGAAACACTGACCGATCCCTAACCAACCTCACTGCTGTTGCCACGCTTAAGCCCATTGATGCTGCCACTTTGCCAATCCATCTTGTTGAGGGTCTTCTTCTTTCTCTCTGACCCTCCACCTTGCTAAACATGGGTATCCTTCTCCAGTAACTGGTCCCTCCTGACAATATGCCTGGAGTATGAGAGACAAAGTTTGGCCATCCTGGCCTCCAAGGAGTACTCTGGCTGTACTTCTTCCAAAACGGATCTATTGGTTCTTTTGGCAGCCCATGGCACTTTCAATATTCTCCTCCAACACTATAACTCAAAAGCATCAATTCTTCTACGGTCTTCCTTATTCACTGTCCAGCTTTCGCATGCATAGGAGGTTACTGAGAATATCATGGCTTGGGTCAGGCGCACTTTAGTCCTCAAGCTGACATTTTTGCTCTTCAACACTTTAAAAAAGCTCTTGTGCAACAAATTTGCCTAATGCAGTGCTTCGTTTAATCTCTTGACTGCTGCTTCCATGAGTGTTGATAGTTAACCCAAGAAGAATGGAGTTCTTGACAACTCAATCTTTTCTCTGTTGATAAGAATGTTGTTTATTGATTCAGTGGTGAGGATTTTTGTTTTCTTGACATTGAGATGTAATCCATATTGAAGGCTGTACTCTTTGATCTTCATCAGTAAATATTTTCAGTCCTCTTTACTTTCAGCAAACAAGGTTGTATCATCTGCATATTGCAGGTTGTTAACGAGTCTTCCTCCAATCCTGATGCCATGTTTTTCTTCATAGAACCCAGCTTCTCGTATTATTTGCTCAGCATACAGGTTGAATAAGTATGGTGACAGAATACAACCTTGTCGCACACCTTTCTTAATTCTAAACCATTCAGTGTTCCCATATTCTGTTTGAACAACTGCTTCTTGGTCCAGGTACAGATTCCTCATGAGCACAAATAAGTGTTCAGGAATACTCATACTTTGTAATGTTGTCCATAGCTTGTCATGATCCATGCAATCGAAAGCCTTTGCATAGTCAATGAAACACAGGTAAACATCTTTCTGATATTCTCTGCTTTCAGCCAAGATCCATGGGACATCAGCAATGATATCCCTCGTTCTACGGCCTCTTCTGAATCCAGCTTGAACCTTTGGAAGTTCTCTGTCAATGTATGATTGTAGCCATTTTGTATTACCTTTAGCAAAACTTTACTCGCATGGGATATTGAAGAGATTGTTGGATGAATTCCACATTCCATTGCGTCACCTCTTTTTGGAATGGGCACAAATATGGATCTCTTCCAATCAGTTGGCCCGAGAGTTGTCTTCCAAATTTCTTGGCAGAGATGAGTGAGTGCCTCCTGTGTTGCCTCACTTTCTTGAAAGATTTCAATTTTTATTGCATCAATTCCTGGTGCCTTGTTCTTTGCTCATAGAATCCTTTAATATTGCTAGTTGAGGCTTGAATCTTTTCTTCAGTTCTTTCAACTTGAGAAATGCTGAGCGTGTTCTTCATTTCTCGTTTTTAACTCCAGATCTTTGCACACTTTATTAGAATATTTGACTTTGTCATTTCTACCTGACCTTTGAAATTTTCTGTTCAGCTCTTTTACCTCCTCATTGTTTCCATTTGCCTTAGCATCTCCATGTTGGAGAACAAGTTTCAGGGTCTCTGCAGAAATGCATTTTGGTCTTTTGCTTTCTTCTTGTCTTCTTAATGATCTTTTGCTTTATTCCTGTATGATGTTCTTGATGTCATCCCACAACTCTTCATGTCTTCAGTCATTACTGTCTAATGCATCAAATCTGTTCTTAAGATGATCTCTAAATTCAGGTGGGATATGTTCATGGTCATAATTTGTGTCGTGGACTTGTTTTAATTTTCTTCAGCTTCAGCCTGAAACTTCCATATGAACAATTGATGATTTGTTCCATAGTCTGCCTCTGGCCTTGTTTTAGCTGTTGATATGGAGCTTTTCTACTGTTTCTTTCCACAGTAGTAGTCAGTTTGATTTCTTTGTATTTCTTCTGGTGAGGTCCATGTGTCTAGTTGTCTTGTATGTTGTTTAAAAAGGTATCTGCAATGAGTAAGTCATTGGTCTTGCAAAATTCTGTCATGCAACCCCCAGGATTGTTTCTGTCACCAAGGCCATATTTTCCAACTATTGATCCTTCTTTGCTTCTAACTTTTGCATTCCATTCACCAGTAATTTTCAATATATATTGATTGCATGTTTCATCAATTTCTGACTGAACAAGTTGGTAGAATTCTTCAGCTTCTTCATCACACACTAACCAGTCAATCACTGGCTTTAGTGTTTTGTGTGTAAACTTGAATAATAGTGGTCTTAACTGGTCTTCCTTGTAGGCATATGGATATTATCATGTCACAGTGTTGTACTTTAAGATGGCTCTTGAAATGTTCTTTTTGATGATGAATATGATACCATTCCCTTTCAATTTGTCAGTCCTGACGTAGTAAAACCATGTCAGATTCAAAATGTCCGCTACTAGTCCATTTCAGCTCACTAATACCTAGTTTATCGATGTTTATGTGTTCCATTTGATTTTTGACAATTTCCAATATGATTCATAGTTGGTATATATTCCATGTTGCAATAATTAATGGATGTTCATATTTATTACAATAGTAAAAATTCTGACTATTTACACAATAAGAATGTTGAGGTGTTAGGGTAGAATAATAATGACTGTGATGGTTAAGGTTATATGTCATCTTGACTGAGTCATGATTGTTAGTAGTTTGACAGTTATACAGTTATATAGTCACTCTCATTTGTGATCTCATTTTATAATCTGATGTAAATATCTTTCATTTTTACATCATGCTGATTTTTACATAACAACCTGATTTTTAGAAACTAACCGTATCAATTAGGAAGCAGTTGGTGTACTTAAGTGTTTTATTAATTTGATAAAACTCCAAGAGGGCATATAACATACGTAACTTCTTTCCAGGTTAAGGGAAGTCCCGTATTTAGCTAGTATATTAGGCATTGAGCTGCTAACTGCAGGATCAGAGGTTCAAACCCACCAACCACTCCATGGACAAAAAAACGAGGCTGTCTGCTTGCCTAAAGCGTTACCGTATTGGAAACCTTATATAGGGCTACTCTGAGTCATCATCAGCTCAGTGGCAGTGCCTTTTCTGGGTTTATCAGCTTAAAACATTTTATTAAATAACTGCTCTGTTCAGTCTGTGGGAATGGAAATACAAGCTAGGAACCAGTTTGTAAGATTGATATTTTGGTAACAAGGAGCTAACTGCTGCCATAGATGGCATGTTAATGACTTAACCTCTCTTGTATTGTTTTACAGTATTATCAGAAACTCCACCCAGTTTCACCATTACTGTGACATCTGAGGCTGGGGAAAATGGCGAAAGTAAGTGCTAACCCAAACCACTCACTGTTGTCTTAAGCTTCTGCAGTCATTGTGCTAGGCATTGCAGGTGTGGAGCTGCTAAGGTGCTACTAAACATGACTCCTAGAGAAGTAGAGAGGAAGTCTAAGATACATTCTGGCTCAATAAGCTTTTTTCTTTAAACAAGACAACAGATGGAGATAAGATTGAAGGTATTTGTTCAAAATCAGTAATTTGTATGCAAGCATATTTTAGTGGTTGTGTGGTATTCTCTTGAGTAATACTTTTTGACATTAACTTATTCTCTTTGGATAGGTAGTTTATAGGACATTTGTTCTTATGAAACTGACTGGACAAGCACAATATACCTATATGTCTTTCCTTCTTTAGAATGGGTATCATGCTGATGTCATTAAAATTTAAGCAGGAAAGCAGAAAAAACACGTGTTACACAATTGTGGAGTCCTGGTGTGGCACTGTAGGATCAGCACTGGACTACTAACCTTTGTCTGCTTTTGTACAAAAATCTATTGTGTTAAGAGGGGGGAAAAAACAGCAATGAAGTTGCAAGCTAAGCCTGACCATGTTCAGTAGACCCCTGTGAACCCAAATGGAGACCAGGATGGCCAGCAATATGGCAAGACCTGGGAGTCCTGTGCCCAGAGGCAGTGACATGGCCGCAGAGGACTAGAGCAGAGAATGAAGCATCCAGCTGATATGAAGTGAGGGGAGATGCACAAGAACACCCATACTTGCAGATAGTACCCACTTGACCTGGCTTCGATGGCTGGATGATCAGAACTCAACTAGAAGAAGAAAGAAGGGGGTGGGGGCAGGGAGAAGAGTAACCTGCTACAATTTGATGAACTTTTCCTATACTAAAATGAATGTAGTAGCTCAAAAAAGGGAACAAATCTTTACAGTAAGGATCACTTCCCCCCAGCCCCCTGCCCCCCTCCCCCATACACAGGGTTGACAGGGATGGGCAACTTAGACATCGGCTACCTAAATTGGGGGCCTATAAAGGCTAGAAGTGACTGGCTTACAAACTTTCAAGAGGGAGCCTAGTTCCAGATGGGACAGAGGAAGGTAGAATCACCACTGAATGATTTCCAATCTGTTGGGAGCAGGCTGGTAAAAGGAAATGGGATAAGACTCTTGTGGTACAGTAGTAAATAATTGCCATCAGGAGTGACTGTAATGGTAGGAAATATAGAGGTAGATATTTTTTGACAAAAGGAGGAGAGTGATTGATTTTGTAGCCCAGGAGTGGAGGTCCCTGGGACCATCAAGTGAGAAGAGTGGAGAACATGACCCTATCCAGAGAGGCAGTGACGCCAGGGATGGAGACAGAGACAATGACGTGGACAGATGGGGCAGCTGGGGACACTGGACTCAGGGAGGGAGAAGGGCTGTGTGCTGGCAGCCGAGGGGCGAGCCTGTGTGGTGATCTCTGTGGTTATTTGATGATGCATGGAGGGGATTGTAATCATTGCAGTGAAACGAAATACAATAGCATGAGTGTAAAGCTGATGTTCTCCTATGTAAACCTCACAATAAAAACTTTAAAAAAAAAATCTATTGTGCTATTTTTAAATGACACATTGTATATTAATGACTAATTCAACAAAATGTTGACCTTCTAATTTTTCATTTAAAATTATTCACATCAAACTCTCTTATCTTGTATCGTAGCTGTCCAGACTACACTCAAGTTTACATACAGTGAAAAATACCCTGATGATGCTCCTCTTTATGAAATACTATCCCAGGAAAATCTAGCAGATAAAGATGTCTCAAACATTTTAAAATTATTAGCATTACAGGTAAGAGAAGAATAACATATTATGTTTTCTAATTGGCCCATATATTATACATTAAATTGAGTGGTCAAAAACTCCTATCAAATAATGTGTTAACAGGACTTTGAACAAACAGAGCACACTATGTATAATCAAAAACGTCTTCATTTTTGTCTTCCACGGTCCCTTTAACATCTGAGTAGGGTCAATTGTTCCCCCGTCCTTGGCTGAAACTTCAGCCCCATGGCTTTTCTCCTCACTCTTAGATGAGCAGAAAATGTCTGACACACAGAGTTTTATTTAATTCTTAGAATGTTTAGTCCCATGTATAGTAAGAAATTCCAGTTGTTTGAAAAATTAAATTCCTACTCCCTCTGACCTATCATGGACCATTGTTTAGTGCTGTCAAGTTGGTTTGGGTGCATAGAAATCCTGTATAGGGTTTCTGAGGAGCAGCTGGTGTGTTTGGATTGCCAACTTTGTGGTTAGTAGTCCAGTTCTTACCCTACAGCACCACACCAGGACTGTTGTTGTTGTTGTCAGGTGCCATCGAGTCGGAACCGACTCATAGCGACCCCATGCATAGCAGAACGAAACAATGTCCGGTCCTGGGCCAACCTCACTACCGCTGCCACAATGCCATCAATGATGCCACCTGGCCAATCCATCTCGTTAGAGGTCTTCCTCTTTTTCTCTGACGCTCCACCTTACCCAGCATGACATCCTTCTCCAGTGACTGTTTCCTCTGGACAATATGTCCAAAGTAGGAGAGACGAAGCTTAGCCATCCTGGCCTCCAAGGAGCACTCTGGCTGCACTTCTTCCAAAACAGATCTATTGGTTCTTTTGGCAGTCCTTGGCACTTTCAGTATTCTCCTCCAACATCACAACTCAAAGGCATCAATTCTTCTACAATCTTCCTTATTCACTGTCCAGCTTTCACATCCATATGAGGCTATTGAAAACACAATGGCCTGGGTCAGGCGCACCTTAGTCCTCAAGCTGACATCTCTGTTCTTCAATACTTTAAAAAGTTCCTGTGCAGCAGATTTGCCTAATGCAATACGTTGTTTGAGTTCTTGACTGCTGTTGTGTGAGTGTTGATAGTTGATCCAAGAAGAATGAAGTCCTTGACAACTTCAGTCTTTTCTCCATTGATAAGAATGTTGTTTATTGGTCCAGTGGTGAGGATTTTTGTTTTCTTAACATTGAGATGTAATCCATATTGAAGGCTGTGCTCTTTAATCTTCATCAGTAAATGTTTCAAGTCCTCTTCACTTTCAGCGATCACCAGGACTAGTTACTTGCAATCTAAGAAGAAGACTGATGGTTGAGGATTTGTGTGTTTTTTCCCTTCTCCTAGGTCTTCTCTCTCAGTGTTTAGACAGCAACCATGGTTTAGGCCTCCTCAAGAATGGGGGAGAAATAGGTATAGCGAAGTTCTTAATTGATTAGTTTTGTGGTAGGAAGCTGATTCTTGCTTCGGTGAATAACTTTAATGTTTTTATCAGAGCAGCTACCATTTCCTGTCCTTAGCACACACACATATTCATACTCAACACATACATACAGAGGCTTGTCACCATCAGTGATACTTGCTCTGTTACCAGATCATCCAACTAACCTTCTCCCATCTAAGTCTAATGTGTCAGATGAAAGTCAGATACTTGTCTGACTATTGTGTCCCCTAACCATGGGGCCACATAACCAGTTGTGGGCAGTATTTGACTTAAAGACAAAGGGACTATTTCTACCATTTCACACAGAGACAGTGAAACTCATAACACATTCATAGCTCTTGCTAGAGAGCTTCCTCCAAATGTATCTGTTTGCATTCAGGACCCTATTACATCCTTAATGTAGGTGAATTGTTTTTAGAGTTATGTAACTGATTTGGGGTTGCTGAAAATTTGTATTTGTTGCTTCACTTTGAAATACCATATATATTTTATTTTGGTGCCTGTCTAAATTTATAATTTATTGTGCATATTTTACATGTTTTGTTATAGTACTACTATAAGTTTTATATTTTATTAATTAAAAACATTTAAATATATTTAGTTTACTTTTAAAGGAATACTTTTAACAAATATTAGAAAACAAAAGTATTCTGCTATAATAAAATTATGATTAAAGTTGTTTTTATCTAAGTATTAATAGTACCTCAGTAAGGAGCTGCCAAAGGTTCAGACTAGATTCAGAAGAGAATGTGGATCAAGGGTTATCATTGCTGATGTCAGGTGAATCTTGGCTGTAAGCCCAGAATACTAGAAAAATGTTTACCTGTGCTTTATTGACTTTGCAAAGGCATTCAGCTGCATAGATCATAATACACTATAGATAACCTTTGAAAGAATGGGTGTTCCAGACACTTAATTGTGCTCCTGAGGAACCTGGACATAGACCAAGAAGTAGTTGTTTGAACAGAAAAAGGGCACGCTGAATAGTTTACCATCAGGAAAGGTTTACACCAGGGTTATAGCCTTTTACCATTCTTATTCAATTTATATGCTGAGCAAATAGTGCTAGAAGCTGAATTACATGAAGAAGAATTTGATATGGGATCAGAGAAAGACTTATTAACAACCTGTGAGATGTAGATGACACAATCTTGCTTTCTGGAAAAGAAAAAGACCAAAAATATTTACTGATGAAGATAAGTATGGATTGTACCTCAGTGTCAAGAAAACAAAATTCCTTACAAATGGACCATTAAATAGCATGGTAAATGGAGAAAGCAGTTTCCAGTCATACTTGATTGTTTGAGCTTTTATGAGGTTAGTGATGATACATGATGGAATTAACATGCTTAATTCCTGATGAGTAATTAGATCAGGTTTATGTTTTAAAAATTCTTTTCAGTGTGTGTGTGTGTGTTTATGAATGTTTTGAAGTCTGGGAAGGCTGGTGACAGGGATGAGAAGACTATATGATTTAAAAAGATCAGTTAGGAGTTTCCTGTAGTATTCTTGGGAATAGGTATTGTGAAGAAGATAATAGTTTCAGGCTTGACGTGCCTATGAAATATCCAAATAGTTGTGTCCAGTAGCAAGTTTTAATATGGGTTTGGCACTTAGGAGAGAGGTTTGTTTAAAATCATATTTAGGATTGTTAGCTCATAGACAAGATGGAGAAGCCCCTGAGGAGAATTTCAGAATATAGCTTGAAGCCTAGGAATCATGGAGGCATAGGAGATAAATTACCCATTCAGATGCTGCTTGTTGAGGCCAGCCCTGTCATAGAAATGCTTGATATCACTACTTTGCTAAATGATATCTTCCTCTGCTTCTGGGACCAATGTTCAGCTAATGTATTTTGAAATTATGTTGTTGCCTACATCTTTGAACACAGCCTGGGAAGAAAAAATATATTGCATATTTTGTTTTGCCTTCAGCTTCTGCCACTTCCAATTAGACTTTAGAATTAAAACTCTTTCAAGAGTGTGATGTGTTCTTACATTTACCATTAAACCATTTAAAACTTGAGTGAAAAAGTATGGATGAATCATAACAGTACTTGTATTCTTTATTGTATTATTGACTTAGCAAATCACTTTGGCCTCAAAGTTAAGATCATTTTCACTGCTGAGAAGGAACCAAATATGCAGAAGAGACTAAAATATTGAAAACATTTTAGAGAACTAGTATTACTAGTTGTTTTGGCTGATGATAATGAAGCTTTTCCACCGTCTCTTTTCACAAATGTAGTCAATTTGATTTCTGTGTATTTCATCTGGTGACTAGGTGTATAGTAGTTGCCTTTTATGATGCTTAAAAAAGGTATTTGCAATGAAGAAGTCATGGCGAAATTCTTTCATGCGATCTTCAGCATTGTTTCTGTCACCAATGCCATATTTTCCAGTGACTGATCCTTTTTCTTTGTTTCCAGTCTTTGCATTCCAGTCGTCAGTAATTATCAATACATCTTGATTGCATGTTTGATCAATTTCAGACTTAAAAATTTGGTAGATTTCTTCAATTTCATCATCACTGTCTGAACTGGTTGGTGTGTAAATTTGAATAATTGTATTAACTAGTTTCCTTGTAGGCACATGGATATTATCCTATCACACTTAATTGTGCTCATGAGGAACCTGTGCTTAGACCAGAGGCAGTTGTTGGAACAAGGGAACACTGAATGGCTTAAAATTGAGAAAGGTGTGCACCAGGGTTATATTTTTTCCCATACTTATTCAGTCTGTATGCTGAGCAGATTATCCTAGAAGCTGGATTATATGAAGAAAAAGGTGGCATCAGGATTGGAGGAAGACTCATTGACAACCTGCAATATGTAGATGATACAACCTTACTTGCTGAAAGCAAGTAAACCTGACTTAAAATACCACAGTCTTTGGTATGCATTTCAATGTAGAGGAAATACAGATCCTCACTAGACCGATAAATAACATCAAGACAAATGGGGAAAATATTGAAGTTGTCATAGACTCCATTTTATACGGATCAGCCATTAACATTCAAGGAACAATAGTCAAGAACTCAAGCAACATATCACTTTGGGCAAATCTGCGGCACAAGCCCTCTTAAAGTGTTCAGGAGTGGAGATGTCGTTGTGAAGACTAAAGTGTGCTTGACCCAACCCATGGTAATTGCAGTAACCTCATGTGCATGTGAAAGTTGGACAATGAATAAAGAAGGCCATAGAGGAATTGATGCATTTGATTTGTAGTGTTGTAGAAGAATATTAAAAGTACTATGGACTGCCAAAAGAACAAACAAATCTGTGTTGGGAGAAGTACAGCTAGAATGTTCCCTAGAAGATAGGATGGTGAGACTTCATCTCTCATACTTAGGAGGGACATATTCCTAGGAGGAACCAGTCCCTGGGAAAGGACATGCTCAGTAAAGTAGAGGGTTAGCAAAAATAAAAGGAATACCCTCAGTGAGATGGATTTGGCACACTGGCAGCAGCAATGGACTCAAGCATAGATAGCATCGATTGTGAGGTTGGTTCAAGACTGCATAATATTTTGGTCTGTTGGTTATAAAGTTGTACCGACTTGACAGCACCTAATACTAACAACAGTAGCAGAAGTATTACTAGTTATTGTTGGAAAAGATTTTCTGAATTCTGCCTTCATTTATTGTTATTAAAATTTACTAAAATACGTATTTTAGGTTAGATACAAGTTATTCATATGACATTTACATACACTCCTCACTAGGCAAAAATCAGTGTGCTGAGAAAATGGAGGATGGCTATATCATTACATAACTGCCAAACAAGTGCAAATCATGGCCCAGCTAAGTTGACATGTAACTGTAACCATCACAATGCTGTGACTCTCACCTCAGCATTTGTTACTGTCCATGTGTATCATTGATGCACAAAATAGTTGAGTAATAGATCTTTTACCATTGTTGCAAATGAGAAATGTCGAATAATGATAGTTGATAAGTGAGGATTTGGTGTATAAGATACCATTATACCCAGCCCCATGGCATAAACAGTTAAATGCTCACCTGCTAACCAAAAAGTTGGCAGTTTAAATCCACCTAGCAAGACCACAGGAAAAAGACCTAGTGGTCTGCTTCCATAAAGATCCAAGAAAGCCTTGTGGAGCAGTTCTACTCTGTCACATGGGGTCTGTTTGAGTGTAAATTGACTTGGTGGTATCTAACAGCAACAGTGAACCTACAGTGTAACTGAATTAGTACTCGTGTTATAAATGTATGAAGTTTAGTGATTACACTTAAATACTGTTTAATTCATTACTTTTATTTTTCTAAGAAATATGTTTCTCACCACAGCTTTGTATTCTGTCACATAGGCAGAAGAAAACCTTGGTATGGTAATGATCTTTACCTTAGTATCAGCTGTGCAAGAAAAATTAAATGAAATAGTAGATCAAATAAAAACTAGAAGAGAGGAAGAAAAGAAGCAAAAAGAAAAGGAAGCAGAAGAAGCTGAAAAGGTATATTTTTTAAAAAACCTTATATTCCTTCATTATTTAAAAATGGGTTTTGGGGTTTTTTTTTGTCTTCATTTTGGAAATTTCCATTTTTTTAGAAACTTCAAAAGTAATTTTTAGTGAAATTTTATTAATTTACTTGAGTAAATTTCAGAGGTCTCTTAATTTGATTGATGGTATAGCCATCAAATCGTGCAATGAATGAGTCAGCAAAGGGCTTATGTGTAGGTAAGACTAGAGATATAAATATTAATAAGCACTGGACAGCAAGGTTGATTTGAACTATAAGGTCGGTGGTTCAAACTCACCAGTTGCTCCTCGGACCCCCTATACAGGTTCACTGTGAGTTGGAACCAACTTGACAACATGTTAACAACAATAGATAGATGAATTAATAAAAGTTCCTGCCACAGTGATTTTAAGTATTTACTAAATGTAAATGAAACCTCAGATTCCGAAATGAAGTAAAAATTAGTGTGTCTTCAAAATATGTCAGTGTTTCAACAGGAGCAACTTTCTTCTTAACATTGAATAGCTGTGGGGAAAGATCATATTTGTTAGCTTTGTAATAAGAGCCAACACCAGACATTTGCAAAGTAAATTACCAAAATTAGTGAAATCAGATGGAATATTTCCAAATTTGAAATATGAATTTTTATGTTTCTTTTGAAGGAGTTATGTTCATTTATCTAAAAGATACTATTAGGCTTTGCTTTTTAACTGCTTTCTCTCTTATTTGGTGACTTACATTTTTGTTTTTCTTAAGCAACTGTTCCATGGTACTCCTGTTACAATTGAGAATTTCTTAAGTTGGAAGGCCAAGTTTGATGCAGAATTGTTGGAAATTAAAAAGAAACGAATGAAAGAAGAGGAGCAAGCAGGAAAAAATAAATTAAGTGGTATGACATCTTCTCCCCTTTGCCCCTTTGCCTATCACATCTTGTGTAGCCAAAGATCATTTGGACAGATATCTGTAAGAAAAAAATATACTTAGGTATTTAGGACAAAAATATATCTGCATGGTGATATTGCTTCATATATAACTCATGATTTTTATAGCTTATCCTTGATCTAAATGCTACACCTGGAAGACCCTGAGGTATAAGTAGCATAGCTCTCAGGGTCACAACAAGCCTTAGACGTGGGAGAGTCCAACCCATGCATAAGCCCTGACTGCTGACCACAAAGTTGGCAGTTCAAACTCACCAGCTTCTTCAACGACCCTGTACAGTGTTGCTATAAGTTGGAACCGGCATTTAACAACAAGACTGACTCGGTTTTCACTTGTTCCAATTTAATGCAGATACCTCCTGATGCTTCAGCTTCTAAATGAGTATAAATTTTTTAAATGCACAGAAAAGCACAGGTTTTCAAGTATTTTTTATTGTTATTATACTTTTTAAAGGATCATAGAAAAGATGAATACTATGCCATTTCAATTAATCATATTTATTGCTTTTAGGGAAACAGCTGTTTGAAACAGATCATAATCTTGACACATCTGATATTCAGTTCTTGGAGGATGGTAAGATAATATTCCTTATAGTAGAATAATTTCACATTTACATAATTGCTTTCTTTCATTTTAAACTGTGAAAATCGTAGTGATAACTTTACTTAATGCAGAAATTTACTTCTAGGGCTATGCATTTTAAAGAATAAATTGGTAAAATCCATCAAGTCATGGAAAATGTTTTATCACTATAATTCTATAGCAACATGGGTTTTTTTGTGTGTGGGTTTTTTTTTTTTAAGTTTTCTGATAACCAAGAAATATTAACAGTAGCAACAGATAGAAAACTATGCTCATCGGGCTTCTATTAAAGTAAGCCACTGTGGTTCAGGTGACTATGTTTCTGTAAATACCTAGGTGTGTGATAAAGTCAGTGGAAACTGTATTCCTTAGTCTGTCAAGGAGTTTGTAAAACCTCAGGTCTGGAACTCCTGGCATGTCCTCTAACCAAAAAAATCATACCTTCTTAATAGTCTTTCTGTCCTTGAAGCATCTAGTCCCATGCACTTTTCTTATTTTTCTTTTGTCCAAGCCCTTACTCCAGTCTTGCCTTCCATCTATTCCACAAATATTTATTACACCTCTTACTCAAATCTAAGCACTGTTCCAGCCACTGAGGATACAACAGAGAACAATATAAACACATTCTCTGCCCTTTGGAATCTTATGGTCTACTTGTGTTTCTGAAACTGGGCCCCATATTCAGTCACATATCCAATATCACTTTAGAGCTGGAGCTGTGCATATCATTAACCTTCTGTTATAGCTGCCTTACCAATTGTGAACTCTAGTGTCTGACTTTCAGACCATGTTCCTTTATTACTTCCTGGAGAGAGTGAAGAAACGATGTTGATGTGGTCCATTGCTAATCTTGCTGTCTAACCTAAGCTGGACCCTTACTTATGCTTGGGATTTATACCCTTACTTATGCTTAGAATGTATATATATATATATATATATATTTACTTTTTTTTTTTTTTAATTACATTCTCTGTAAGAGCTGCTCCAGAGTTTTTACAGTCTGCCTTAGTTACCTAGTGCTGCTGTAATAGAAATACCCCACGTGGATAGCTTTGAAGAGGACTCTTTTGGCATTCTTTTGTTTGTATATAATCCTCATGTGTCATCTGTCTTCCCTTGTGTGTGTGTCCTTGTATCTATTATGGTTTTTTATAACTAAAAAAGTAATTAAGTTTATGATCCACTCTACTTTGCTATTACTTCATTTATGACAGCAGAAAAACCCTATTTCTAAATAGGGTCACATTAATAGGTATAGGAGTTAGGGACTAGGACATCTGCATTTTTTATTTAGGAGCCACAATTTAATCCTTCACACAGTCTTAAAATAAATCAAAACAAACAGCAAGGATATCTTTTTTTATTCCTCTCTCACTTTAGGAGTTCAACTTACTTACTTTTTAAGTTTATTATTATTATTATCATTACCTCCTTTTCTGCTAAGAAATGTTGATCCAAAAACCTGTCTTACAATCTAGAAGTTTCTAGTATCTTCATTCATTCTTTACTTATTTAATAGATCAAGTAGCTCTGCATATCCAGTTAGTTACCAAAATTTGCCTGCTGATTCTGCCTCTGAGATGTCCTCTCAGCTCTTTTCTCTCCTGATTTGAGAGTTTTTCATTTTTTTTGCCTGGACTTTTACAGTAGACTCGTAGATAATCTGCCTATGTCAGTCTCTCCCTTCTAGGTTCCTTATGTACTCTATGAGGGAGCTTTAAGAAGTTTGTGCAAACATGGAAGTTAAAGATAATAGAATTTTCCCACAAACCTTGTTTTTTATTATTTTAAGAAGAAATCCTTTTTTTTTTTTTTAGCTTTACAATATTGGTCTTATACAATACTTGTCCTTTTGTGATTGACTAATTTTACTAGGCATAATGTTCTCCAGGTTCAACCATGTTGTAAGATGTTATAGATTAATCATTATTTTTCCATGCTTTGTAGTATTCCATTGTGTATATGTACCAAAATTTGTTTAGCCATTCTTCTGTTGATGGGCATTTAGGCTGTCTCCATCTTTTTTTATTTTAATGTGACTTTTATAGACAGCATATTGAAGGATCCATTTTGCTATGTCTCTTGACTGGTACATATTTAATCCATTTACATTAAGTGTAATTATTAATAGGTATGAATTGTTTGCTGTCATTTTTCTGTGTGTTTTTATGTGGTGCTGCTGGATTCTTTGTTCCACATAATTTTCTATGCCGAACACATTTTGCTTGTGGGTTTACTTTACATTTTCAATTCTGTTGTGTTAATGTTTACTAAAGCTTTCTGCTTTTCCTCTTTTTTTTAACTTTGATGTGCAGGTACATTATTTTTCTTTGAGGTTACCTGTAATTTATTAAATAATTAAAGCAATCTATTTTATCTTGAAATCTACTTTACTATCTTGTAATCTACGCTATTCCCTCTTTTTACTTTGTAGTTAGCTTCATTATACCTTGATATCTCTCGTTCCCTATTTTCAGTCTTTCAGGTTTGTTTTACTTTTAGTACTTCTATACTTGAGTTCTGGGTAATGTTTTCATATATGGTAATCTCAGATTGTTGTGTGCTGATGTTGACTATCAGTCCAAAGAACACACTTTTGCATTTTTTGTAAAGTTAGCCTGGTCATTACAAATTCCATTAATTTGTGTTTGTGAGGAAATGTCCTAATTTCACTGTCATACTGAGGTACAGTTTTGCTGGTTATATGATTTTTGGTTGGCAGTTTTTTTCTTTCAGAGTTTTGTATATGTCATCCCACTGCCTTGTTGCCTGCATGGTGTCTGCTGAGAAATCAGAGTTTAGTCATGCTGGTTCTCCTTTGTAGGTAACTTTTTGTTTTCTCCACGCTGCTCTCTGGATTCTTTCTTTGTGCTTGATTTTGCAAAGTTTGTTATGATGTCTTGGTGATTTTCTTTAGGGATCTATCCTGTTTGTTTCATGTAGCTACCTGTATGCTTACCTTCTCGTCTTTTATGATTATAGGGAAGTTTTCTTGTAACAAGTCTTTGACAATTTACTCTGCTTGCCCCTTCCTATTCTGTAAGATTACCTGTAAGTTGTTTCTCTTCATGGTGTCCCACATAATTGTTAGGCTTTCTTCAGATTTTTTATTTCTTTGTTTGATTGTTCTAGCATGCTAGTATTGAGAGATTGATTTCAGTAAATAAGTTTAATGTCACTGATTTGAACTTCCATTGCTTTGAATCTTCTCCTTTGCCCTGTAAGTAGTTCTTCAAAACTTGGCATTTGTTTTGTCTGTTCTTGTAGCGTTTTCCCGAAGTATTCTAAAGTTTATTCTGTGTTCTCTTTTGTTTCCTTGATCTTTCTGTCAATCCAGTGAAGGTACCAGAATACCTTTGTTTGGGTTTTTTTCATTCTTTTTCAGTTAGTTACTTCACCTTTCTCCCCTGTTGTCTGTCCCTGCAGCTTGGTCATTTGTTTGAGTCATTCTCTCTTGTTTCTTTGTATGAGCTCTAATTGCCTGTTGTCTCTGGGACATTGTGAGGTTGTCCTATTTGTAAAAACAAACAGTGCAGGTGTTGGACCTGGAGGGGAGAAATCTTTGGGGGACTCCTAGAATTCAAGGAGCTCACAGGTAGTTGTGGAAGGGATTTGACAGCAGAGTTCCTGGCTCTAAATGGAGTTCCTGTTGGCCTTGGTCTTATCTATTTTCAGGACACTCATTCCGAAGGTAATTTGGAGGCGCATGATAGATAGCCTGGTTTTGGTGTCTGTTAAGATCACAGGAAACTAGAGGCAGTGTGACTGGTTAAATGCTGGTCAGGTAGCTCTGTGGGTTGTGTAGGTCTGGAGCTGAGCCCTCCTGAATCCAGGCACCAAAGTAGTGCCCCCTCCCTCCCCCTGCCCCTGTCCCCCACCTCCAACTCTCATTGGTGTGGCTCCCAACCACATGACTCTGAACTCCTGGAGAGCAGAGTCTATACTGGAGATGAATGAAGGTTGGAATTGGCCATACCTCTGGTCACCAGGGGAGTGTGGGGAAAAAGAAGAAATTGCACCTTTCCTACTGCCCTTGCTAATCTGCTCTGCCAGGCTGCCCTCCGCTTCCAAAGCTGCTCACAAGATAGTCTGGCCAGCATCTCACCATTCAGTCTCCTTTTTGCCATCTCTGGTCAGCTTCTCCTCCCATCAAGCAACTCTGTCCATCTCTCTAACCTTTCTTCTGAAGTACAGGTTGCCAGAATTTCATCTGTGGCTGTTTTATTTGGTGTCTTGTGTCTTTGTTGTAGAGGGTCCATGTAATATGTCTGCCTAGACTGGCATCTTGCTGGAAGTCCTCCACAAACTTTTTGGAGTCCCTCATATAGTCACTGCCTCTGAGCTAGTATTTCTAAAATCCATATTTAACTATGTCATTTCCCTTCTTGATATCCTTTGATGGTTCGTTACTGATTAGAGGAAAAGGCTCACCAACCTAAAATTCTCAGTTTAGCCCTCCTGTGTTATCTCTAGGCATTCTTCCTCAATAATCCTGTGATCTGGTTAGAATTTTTCAAGGTCTTTCCTCTCTGCCTCTACTCTGCATCTATTCTATGTATTATTGCTTCAGCCTGGACTTTGTTTTTTTCTGTGGACTTTGTTTTTTCAAGCTCATCACCCAGTTTATGCTTAAAATATTTAAAAGGCTCAATGAAACTCCTCTACTTTGACCAAACAGAAGCCGTTATTCTTTGTTCTGAGCTTCGAAAATTGTTTTCTATTACTGTACTGTTTTTAGCATAAAACAAGATACATTCTTACCATCTACCTATAAATTTGAATGTCAATGCTTTAGAATGTGAGAGGGAAGGAAGATGTAACAATTGGTGGTGAATTAAGAATGTTGTAATACCTTATTTATTTTAAAATTTTTAGTTAGGAACTGAGTGAAGGTTTACAGAGCAGATCATCAGTTTCACATTCAACACTTTGCTTCATTACAATGAATGCAATTGTTTACATGTATCAGCTAATAGTATTTACCTCTATTTACTTTAACTCCTGCATTCCTTGCTGTATCCTACTACCTTCATCTTTCTTCACAACCTCCCTCTTGTTGTGTATTGCCTGTCCCTTTACTTACGTTAACATGTGTCTAGGCGCTGTGGGTTAATGCACTGGATTGCAAAGTCGGTGGTTCAAGCTCATCAGCCACGCCTCAGAAACCCTATGCAGAGCCCCTGTGAGTTGGAGTGACAGCACTTAACAACAACCCTCTAACCTGAGAATAATTCCCTCCCTCTTATCCCCCTCCCCCCACAAGCATTTCTTTTGTCAACAAAACCTTTTCTTTTTACAACAGTGGTCTCATACAATATTTATTCTTTTGTGATTGACTCATTTCACTCAGCATCATGTCCTCCAGGTTCGCCCATGTTGTTAGGTGTTTTGCAGTTCATCATTATTCTTCAACATTCTTAATATTCCATTGTGTGTATGTACCAAAGTTTGTTGAGCTATTCTTCTGTTACTGGGTATTTAGGCTGTCTTTGTCTTTTTGCCATTGTGAATAGTGCTTCAGTGAACATGGGTGTACAGCTATCTACTCATGTCACAGCTCCTGTTTCTTCAGGATATATATGAAGAATACTGCTGGCTCATCCAGTATTCCTATTTCTAACTTTTAAAGAAAGTGCCAGCCGTCTTCCATAGTGGTTGCACCATTTTACAGTCCCATCAGCAGTGTAGGAAGGGCCCAGTCTCTTCACACCCTCACCAGCACTTGATTTTTTCTGTTTTTTTGAATTTTGCTATTAATGCTGGAGTAAGATAGCTCATTGTTATTTTGATTTGCATCTGTGTAATGATCATAGGACTTATAGCATTTGTTCATATGTTTGCTGATCAACTGGATGCCTTCTTTAATGTGATGTCTGTTCATGTCCTCTGCCCATTTTTTAATTGATTATTTGTGTTCTTGTTGAGGCCTTGAAGTGTTCTATAAATTTTAGAGAGTAGTTCCTTGTCTGATATGTTGTTACCAAACATTTTTTCCTAGTGTGTGGGTTCTATTTTTCTTTTCTTTTGATGAATTCCACTGATGCATATAAGTGTCTAATTTTCAGGAGTTTCTAGTCATCTATTTTGTCTTCTTCTTGTGTGTTTTCAATTATGTTTGATAGTGTATTTATGCTATGTATCAGAGTGACTAAGTTTGTCCCTATCTTTTCATTGATGGTGTTTATAATTCTAGGTGTTATATTTAGGTCTTTGATCCACATTTAGTTCATTTTTGTATATGGATCCTGTTTCATTTTTCAGAAAATTGATTTCCAATTCTGCTGGCACCATTTTTTGAAGAGACTGTTTCTTCCCAACTTAATTTGACCCTTTGTCAAAGATTGACTGATTGTAGATGGATGAATTTACTTCTGGGTTCTCATTTGTTACAAAGCAACAAATGCTGGCAAGACTGTGGAGAGACTGGGGCCCTCCTACATTGCTGATGGGATTGTAAAATGATTCAAGCACTATGGGAAATGGTATAGCGCTTCCTTAGAAATACCATATGACCCAGCCATCCCTCTACTGGGTGTATAGCCACAAGAAATAGGAGCCAGTATATGAGTAAACACAGCAATGTGTTCATCACAGCTCTGTTCACAATAGCAAAAAGGAGACAGCCTGAGTGCCCATCAATGCAAGAATGGATAAACAAATTTTGATACATACACACTGTGGAATACTGTGTAACACTGAAGACTAGCTAAGAATCTGTGAAATACCTCATAACATGGATGTACCTGGTAGACATCATGTTGAGTGAAATTAGTCAATCACAAAAGGACAAATATTGTATGAGATCACTGTTGTAAAAACTCAAGAAAAGGTTTTCATACTAAAGAAAACAATCTTTAATGGTTACCAGGGTGGGATGGAAGGAATAGTAATTCATTGATTAGAGGGTAAACACATGTTAACTTGGATGACAGGGAGGGAAATATACAAGAAGAGGAAGATTGGCAGGAGAATGATGAAGATAAGTGGAGAGATAGGTATGCAAGAACTAAAGAGTATACAGGTAAAGAGTTACATGTATACAACCTTGGAACAAGTATGTTCTATGTGTGAATACATGAACAGAGACAGACTGAATGGGTATGGGAGGAAGAGTGGGCTAGATATATACATTTATATATCCCAGCAATATGTAAAAGCTTGAAGGAGAATATTTGTACATGGTATTTACCTTTCCTGAAAACACTACTAGGAATGTGGTGGAACATACAGTGAGCAAAATGATGAAAACCTCTTAGATTTTATCAAACATCTGAAGTTGCTAGGCTTGGGGGCTCAGGACCTTAGTCTCAGGGGACACCATGGTCAATTGGCATAACATAGTCCACAAAGACAATGTCTATATCCTACTTTGGTGAATAGTGTCTGGGATCTTAAAAGCTCATAAGCGGCTGGCTGCTTAAGGTACAGCTATTGGTCTTTCCATGTGTGGAAGAAAGAAGAGTGATAAGAATTGAAGAGGCTTGGAATCATTTAGTTCAGTGGACTAATGGAGCATGTAAACAATCATCTCCATGACTCTGAGACCATAAGAACTCTATGGTGCCTGGCTACCACTACTAAGTGCCCTGAAAAGAATCACGTTAGAGGGTCCTGGATACCTGAGAAAATGTGGAACAAAACTCAGAGTTATTTTAAAGAAAGAAAAGGACTAGGCTTAGTGATCAGAAAATGACTGGAGGCACCTAAGACTGTAGCCCTCGACAATCCTCTAGGTCTGGAAAGGAACTCACCCTAGTGACTTAATTTTCAGCCAAGTGGCAGATAGGTATTTTTTGGGAACAACACTAGTAAGGTAGGCTCACATGGTATGTTCAATCATTCAAAATCGAAAGGGGACCAACCCAAGGATAAAGTTGAGAAGGGATGGGAAAGAGGATGGAATGGGAACCACAGGGAGCAAATGGGATAACTTGTTGCATAGAGAGAATTGGAATCATTGAGATGAACCAAAGTGTATGATTTCTTGAATGCGAAACTGATCATCTTGTCTGTAAACCTTCACTGAATTCACAATGTTGTTGTTGTTATGTGCTGTGGAGACAGTTCTGACTCATAGCGACCCTGTATAGGGTTTCTGAGGCTGTAAATCTTTATGGGAGCAGAAAGCCTCATCTTTCTCCCGAGGAATAGCTGGTAGTTTCGAACTGCTGACCTTGCGGTTCCCAGAGCGATTCATAACCACTACGCTACCAGAAATCCTTGAATTCACAATAGAACTTAAAACAAAACAAAACAAAAATGCTCTCTGAGAACTGCTTTCACTGTCTCAGAGGTTTTTGGGAAATTGTGTTTTTATTCTCATTTGATTCAAGCAGTTTTTTATTATTTCATTTTTCATTTGATATATTACGTAGTAGCTCTTTGGCAGGGTGTTCTTCAGTTTCCATGTATTTGTTTTTTTCCCTTGATCTTCTTATTTGTTGATGTAACACCTTATTTTTATCATCTTAAAAAACTTAAAAAAAACTGAAGAGTGAAGTTCTTTAATGCAGATTAATTCACAGCCTGAGTACAGATTTGGTATCTTGGAAAGGCATATTACTGAATACCAGGATAGTGAGTAAAGATTAATTTTAATTTGTTAATTAAATAGCATTCATTCTAGGAAGCCTTAAAACTCACTTTTAAACTGAACTAGAAACCTGTAGTTGCTCTAAAATGTCTAAGTCTCTGCTTACTGATACAGGTTATTTTTTATTTGCATTGTGGTAGTTTGGACTTTTTAACCATCTGTACTTTATATGTACAATTGGAGGTTTCTGTTTGATACTGCCAATGATTGTTATCTTTTATCACTGACTATAAGACTGAAGGGAAAATCTTTTTGGCTTTTATAGCTGGAAATAACGTGGAAGTGGATGAGTCTTTGTTCCAGGAAATGGATGATTTGGAGCTGGAAGACGATGAAGATGACCCCAGCTACCATCCTGCTGACCCAGAGAGTGACTCCACCGACTAATGGACTGACCCCATTGTAGAGATGCGCCACCGCCACAGCATCTGTGGCTATGCTGAGGGGGCGTTGATTTTCCTTTATTTTTTTCTAAGAAAAAATAATTTTCAGAAGAATATTCTTCTGATGATAACTTTCATCATTGAACTAAATAAACTGACCTTACGATTTCAATATAAATTGTTAATTCCTCTTGTGGTTAGAAAGTCATCTATTTATAATCATTTAGTGCTAGAGTGAGATCCTGCCTGTAACATCAAGACTTGAAGAGAGGCTACTGCTTTATAGGTTTATATGCAATGGATGGGAATAACGTGGAATTTTTATCCTGGAGGCACCGGTTGCTTTTGGGATCTATTTTGTCATTCATTTATAGAGTATTAGAGGACTGAGGTGAAGAGAACTCTAAACCTTCAAGATTCTAACTTTTAGGCATGATAAATTTAGGTCTAAACAAAACCATAGCCCCTATTATAGGCTGGAATATACAGTTTTAGCCTTATAGTAGTATTTGAATCATAGTATGTTAGTGTGTACTAGTATTTGAATCAGAATAATCTGTAGGTTTTGTTTTTAAATGTGCACTCCTTGGCTCTTCTCAGATTAGATTAATAAACATTGAGCCCCAATCTGAATTTTAAAATATCAGAATCTCACATTCCAGTTCCACGGTGGTTCTGATGCATACTTCTGATTAAGAACCACTGTCCAACAGTTGTGAAAATTTGAAGTTTTTGTGTGTTGTCCAAAAGGATCTAGTTACTCAGTCTGAAGAGATCTACATTTTTGAGGTTGCAGATTACATACAAAAATAGCCACACATCTATGTCCATGTACTTATGGAACCTTTATGATAATTTGGAATGATTGACTTGGAGGCCAGGTAGGAGAGCCAGGCTTAATATAAACTATGCCAGTCACTACAGAGGTAGAGAGTTGCATCTTAGCTCCAATAGGAAATCACTTGTGCCTCTAACACAGTGCTGCCTCCAGTCTAAAATACGTACCACGTGTCCACAAATAGAAAAGTCAACCCCACATTTACTTTTGGAGTCAGACCTTTTGATTAACAGCAAATTATTTTTAATAAATCTCATACTTTCCAAGGAATATCAGTGATGTTCATGATTTCTACAGAGTCCCCAAAAGTTTATATTATGTGAATTTTTTTCTATTTTTTCACTCAACCTGAAAGAAGTCATTCAATTAAAGTTTAAGTAGGTAAGCAATGTGGTACTGAAATCAATGAAGACTTGATCCTTGAAAAGTCTAGAATGATTCCCAACCCCCTTAAAACGACTACTGAGGGTCTTATTGGTGTGTGTGTGTGTGTGTGTGTGTGTGTGTGTGTTGTAGAGATAATAATCTCGTTTGGTAAAGATGTTAAAGAGAGTTATCAGTTTTCAAGGTGTTCTTCACTGTTAAGTGTTATAATTTTCCTCCAGAAGAACAGAAAAAGAAGGCAATCTGGTTAGTTCTAATGATACTCCCAAGTATTTTTAGCCAATAAACGTTTACTGTTGGCTTTGTATTCTGGGAATTAACGAAAGATTACTTTTCAGATGAGCACACATACTCCCAGCATGCGCAGTGAGCGGTTAGGCTGCTGGTATTTAAAGTTGATGCATCTTCTTGGATTATCAGTTTTGTTCTTAGATTTGGGGAAATTTTTGTTTTTCTTTTTCATCTCAAGTTGTATAAAATATTAATTTGGTTAAAAAACCCAAATACTCATTGCTGCTATTATTCTGTAACAATGCCTGACACAGAATGGCCCCCATTAAAGATTGGATTGTGACCCCCCTCCACAAAATTTAGGTCAATTTGGCTATGCATGATTCTCAATATTATGTGATTTTCTTCCATTTTATGATCTGATGTAATCATTCCAAGTATAAATCCTAGCCTCTATGATGTTAATGAGGCATGATTAGAAGCAGTTATGTTAATGAGGTAGGATATCATCTACAGGATCAAGTTGTATCTTGAGTCAATCTCTTGAGCCATAAAAGACATTAAACAAGTGAGCAGATATCAGGACATGACCAAGAATCACCAAGAAATAAGAGCTGGGAATGGAGCCACATCCTTTAGACTCGTCCTTGCACTGTGAACTTCCTTGACCCAGGGGAAGCTTGAAGCCAAGACACATGGAGATCTCCATGGAATGCTGGGCCCACAGGCCCACAGATGTTGAAAGGAAACAAGGACCTTTCTCCAGAGTCTACTGAGAGAGAAGGCCTTTTCCTAGAGCCATGCTCTGAAGTTGGACTTGTAGCCTCATAAATTGTGAGAGAATAAATTTCTGTTTGTTAAAACCACCCACTTGTGGTATTTCTGTTGCAACAGCACAAGGTAACGCACGCAGGTAACTAAACTAGTGGACAACTTACTAGACAGTCTAGTGAAAGCAGTGCTTATTGTGGCAACTTAGTGGAGGAGCAGACCCTAGGCTTTAAGCTTTGTTGAAAGGGTTTAGGCCTCAGTGTCTGATGGCTAGAGGCATAGACTGATGTATTAGTAATGTGAGTGGACTATGTAGGACCAAGACTGTCAACAAAGAGCAGTCAGCAAACAGACCAGAATCCTGAGAATGCCTTCCTCATGAGGGCTCTAAGTGGTGAGTGTGTGACTCAGTGGGAATCAGGCAAGTATCCTGTTGGTAATTGAGAAATAAAGACAGCTTTCATAAAACCTTGTGAGCTGGGCTGCTAACCACATGGTCAGTAGTTCAAATCTACCAGTTGCTCCACAGGAGAAAGATGAAGCTTTCTGCTCCCGTAAAGACTAATAGCCTCAAGAACCAAATACAGTTTGTCATGAGTCAGAACTGCTCGGTGGTACACAATCACCATCACCTATCTCTTGAAGATTCCCTCACATTTGTTCTCATTTCTTCATACCTAGATTATTTTTTATCAATAATAAAGTGTTCCCTACCTCCAGTCTGCACTTTCTTCTATTATAGGCCCCCATTCCCAACACACATAACACACACACACTGCTCTGAGAGACATCTAAAAGTTCTTTGATCCTTTGATCCCTTGGCTCAAAATTCTCCAGTTGATTTCCTATAGCAATATATTGTGTACCTCTGCTGAGGACCAGCCTCGACAAATTATTGGGAGACTCTTGAAAGAGGACATGGAGTCGGCAAAGTCAAAAAAACAAAAACTCAAAGTCAATGGGTCATTTTGAGTCTCAGGCAGATGATGGTAATGACTCTCTGACTGCTTCTTTATTTCAAAATTGTTGCTTCTTATATCCCATTTAGAATATACTATGATCTCACAATAGTCACGTACAAGCAGTTACAAATCAATCAAATATATGGTTACATCAAAGGTACAAGAGGAACACAAGGTCACCAAACATTCCTGTGTCTCTATACTCCTTAGTTACCTTGATAACGTCTGCCTTGTGTGAGCGACTCTGTTTCTCTCTAATCCTCCCTAAAATGTCAGGTTAATATTAAACAAAGTTCTACATCTTAATTTCTAACTTCAACAACATCTATTACTTTCTATAGATTCATTAGTTACAGATTACAATCAAAAACATAATTTTTACTGTAACTGGTCATACATATAATTGATCAAACAGTAAAAACAAGAATATAAAAGTACCCTAAAGTTTCATAGTTAAGAACAAAGCAGTAATTCTCTCATGCTAACAATTTCTCAAAACTTCTAATCAAATTCCTACCTCTGTTCCCAAGCTTTTTCACTGCCCTTGACTGTCTCCTAAGCTGCTTTCTAAAGGCCTTAATGTCTTTGACTAAAACCACCTGGAATGTTTCTTACAATTTTAACCTTGAATTGCTAAAACTTAGCTAGTGTGGTTATTTCTAATGTTAAAACTTATTCTTAATGTAAAAAACAATTTTTATAACTACATAAGATTGAATATGGTGTTAATGTGAAAGGCAACTATTATAACGTGAGGTCTGTTTAAAGTATCTAATGATTATGCAGAATTTTCTAAAACTTCTTATAAGGAAAGCAGAAATAAACTATTTTTCCAAAGGAAAGCTAGAAACCGCGCCCCCCGCCCCCCGCATGAATCATCCCTTGTAGCTTTGCTAACCAAAGGGACATTCATTGTCGTGCTGCTAAACAATGAACTTTTCATGCATAAGGCTTCTCGCTGTTCTGCTCCTTGGCAGGATGGCATCCACCATACCTCCTAAATTGTTAAGTGCTGTCAAGTCAATTCCAACTTATAGTGACCTTATGCACAACAAAATGAAACACTGCCCAAATCTGCAATGTGATTCAATCCTCACAATCATTGTTAAACTTGAGCCATTGCTGCTGCCACTGCCAATCCATCACTTTGGGGTCTTCCTCTTTTTCACTGACCCTTCACATTATTTAGTATGATGTCCTTCTCCAGGGACTGCTTCCTCCTGATAATATGTCCAAACTATGAGAGACAAGTCTCGCCATACTGGTTTCTAAAAAGCATTCTGGCAGATTTTTATTCTAGCAGTCTCTAGTGATTTTAATATTTTTCTCCAACACCACAGCTCAAATGCATCAGTTCTACTATGGTCTTCATAGTCAATGTCCAACTTTCACATGCACATGAAGCTATTGAAAATATGGCTTCAGTCAGGTGCACCTTAGTCTTCAAACTGACATCTTTGCTCTTGACCACTTTACAGAGGTCTTGTGCAGCAAATCTGCCTAGTGCAATAGTTGGTGTATTCCTTCCATGTTTTGCTGCTTTCTGCATTATTCAATATTTTGCCCAAAGAATCCTTCAACATTTCAAGTTGAGTCTTGAATTTTTCTTCAGTTCTTTCAGCTTGTTCTACCTGCCTCCTAAATAGAAGATAAACATATTTGCCCTGGTCTGCAAATGTAGCTGAAGTAGAACTGTATTTGACACTTGCTTGAAGTCTTATGTTTGTACTAAAAGCTTGTAATTTTCATTAAACTTAGTATATTCATTGTTGCATGTAGAAACTATTTTTAAATTTATTGGAAAAAAACCTTCCTGTTTCCATTTGTTTCTACCTTTTCCCATTATGTAGTTGAATTGTACTTTTGGGAATTTGGATGAATTATGAGAAAATTGACAGAGCATATCACATTGAATAGGGCAGTCTTTTTTTTTTATCGGTATTAAAATATTTTTAAGAACCCATATAAATATGTAGATGTATCTGA